GCACATGATGAGTTCAGGGACTGTTGGAAACTTGGATATTCAGTGATCCTTTCTATTTTTTACTGTGAATAATAGTGTGGTTGTGACTATTTCAGACCCAGCTGGGTGCTTCAGGAGAATTAAAGGTCGATGTCGGCAGTAAAAGCGTCGACAACAAGGTGTACAGAGGTCACGTTAAACTGATCCAGGACCTGCACAGACAATAAAGACAATAAAGAGAACAACCTGTTGAGGGAGAGCTCACAGTGTGTTCAGCTTTGCAGACTTTTTTTTTCTCATGTGGTGAAACTCTGACTGAGTAAATATATCATCAGGACTTCTTGTCGTGTTCAGCTGGAAGTGTGATGGAACAACAGAGAGTTGGAGCTTCATCATCATTTCATAAAACAAAGTCTTAAATTACATCCTGTAGCAGCTCGAATGTGTAAAAGTCCTGAAATGTGACCGTCAGGAACTTTAAACCTGCACTGAGATGAACGATAAACAGATTATTTCACTGCAACACGATCAAAGTGTCGTTTTAATGCAGTTTTTTGGGTTAAACACACTAAAGATAGTCGAGTAAACATGAGCTGATTTTACGTCCAGTACTTTCTACAACTTGAAGTGATTCCTTCCAGCAGATGTGCAGCAAACAGACTTTCACTTTCTGTCATTTGTTTAAACTGAATTTTTCTGCTCGGCTGCTTTCGTGGACGTTGCTGATGTGTTTCTGATGAGTTCTGACAGAACGCCGGTCCGTAGTGACGGGTTTATGGCGCTGCTGCAGCTTCTTATCTGGATGTTTGTTCAGTTTGTGTCTCTGGAAGTGAAATCAGACGTTTACGACTCTGATAATCTTTAACCTTCGTACTGCTGCACGTCTCCTCCTGCTGGACTGGACTCTGACTGCATCACCCAGAAGAACCCAGATCGCTCACCAGAGCCGGTTCTGGTGTGTCGTATTAAACCGGACGCCTCGGTGAACTCCACACATAAGAACTGATGTAAGAACAGTTCAGACGTTTATGTCACATGACTGAAGCAGCAGCAGAGACATGAAGACGCTCCTCAGACCCATCAGCTGCTCTCTGACGTTATGAGACGCCTCCTGAGAGGCTGGAAGCTAAAAGAGCTGCTGAGTGAAGAGCTGAACGTTGTCACACTGCAGAAGGACGTCTCTGGGTCTCTCTGGGTCTCTCTGGGTCTCTCTGGGTCTCTCTGCTTCTGGTCCTGCTGGTTCTGTTTCCATGGAGCTGCAGAACTTTATGCTGCAGAGAAACCTGAACCACACTGAGTAGAAATATGACAGGAGTCTACAACAGCTCCGAGGGTAAAACAGAAGCTGCAGCATTTAAAGAATAAAAAAACAAACAAAAGCTTCGTTTCCCATCAGCCCCTGCTCTCAGTGTGCCGTTACCGTGGCAACAGGAATACATCAGTGCCTCTCATCCGGCCTGGTTCTGCTCACGGCTCGTGTAAACTCTCCCATCTTTGTCTTCTTCTTCTTCCTCCTCCTCCTCCTCCTTTTCTTCTTCCTCTTCATCTCGTCCGTTCGGCCTCTTCTCAGCCTCTCAGACTGAACCAGAGGAAACTCACTCAGGACTTATTATCTCTTCATCACATGTGTCTGATGCTCGTGCAGGACAAAGTTCAGAAACGGGGATGATCTGTGGCGATGCTGGAGAGTCGGTGGTCCAGACGGCGAGTCGGCGTTTGGACCCGTCAAAGGCCTCATTGAGCGGCTCTGAGGGTTCACGTGCAGCCAGAACGCCTCCAGAAGCAGCAGAAGAATCTGAGCAGCTGCTTCCATGCTGCAGAGACGCCGTTAGAGTCGAGTATCGGCTGTTGTCACCACGTTCCTCTGAAGGAACCGCTCAGACCTGGAACACAATGTGGAATATCTAAGTCTGTAGAAGCAGAACAATCATGACTGGAGGAGAGAGGATCTGGTTATTGATCCCATCAGCAGCAGCAGCGTCACGGCAGCAACGGGACAGAAAAGGTTCAGTAGAAATACATCAACAGGAAGTACAGCCAAGTACTGGTGATACTGGACTCGTTG